CTCTCCCAGGATTTCCGGGCGCCCATGCTGTGGCTGTGGTTTGTCCCCCGCGGCGGTGACCGGGAAGCCGTGGCGGACGTCCAGGGGGCGTGGCTGGCGGAGGCCGCGGCGGGCCAGGCGGTTCCTAGCCGTCCTCTTGAGGAGCCAGCCCTTGGAACCGGGGCCGTCTGTCACGCGGGGGGCCAGTCTTCCCGCCTGGCAAGGGCCCCTTGCCAGAGCGCCAGGAAAAAGAAAAACCCGCAGATTGCAAGTGTGTCCGCCACTTCCCCGAATGCCTCTTTAGACGGCTGCGTGATCTCCTGGGCGCCCATGGCCCTGCGGGCAATTGCCGTCCAGTCGGCCGCTTCCGCCCGGGTCTCCGCTGCGCCGCCTGGTCCAAACTAGCTCCTCCAACTCTCCTGGGGGGGCCGTTCGCTCTCGTGCATGGAGGGCCGACTCTAGCCCCGTGGCGACATGCGCGGTCCAGGTCTGTAGCACCTCAGAGTGCAGCCTGTCTCGATGGTCCCCCGACATGCCTCCCATATCTGGTGCGGGTCTCGGGGGCGTGTCCGACTGGGTTCCCGCGGGGGCGCGGGGGGGGGGGGGGGCTCGCCGTGCGAGAGGGGCGATCCACCGCGCCGAATGCTGGGCGGAGGGGGGGGGCCGGCTATCGTGGCGAAGTCGAACGTGCCGCCGGAGGACCTGGACATCCCGGAGCGCCGCCTGCGCATTCCCCGCGTCGTGCGCGGGATCTCCGAGGAGGTTCCTGGTCTTCTGGGCCTCTTCTCGGGGAGGTGGGGCGTTTCCTTCTCCGTCCTTTCCCTGCATTTATCCTACGTTGATCGCGGTGGGGCTGAGGCCCCTCTGGCTCCTCCCTCCGCCAGCTTTCTGGCCATCCAAGATCGCCGCCTGAGCGGGGGCTCAATGAGGACGTCGTCGACCGTGGGCAGGTGCGAATGGCGGGGCACGTCGTCGTGCCAGCTGGGGCGCCCCGGCCTGCAGCGATCGCGGTTCTGCTTCAGAGCCGTCCCGGACGCCGTGTTTCAAGGTCAACGCCTGGTAGATTGCCGCCGGGTCGCCTTCCATCCCGACCTGCTTCCAGAGGAATTCTGTGGCGAACGTGTCCGTGTCCTGGCTCTTGGGCCAGACCCGTCGGACGGCTTCCGCGATGTCCCGATTCGCATTGGAGGCGTGGACACATGACTGCCAGCTCTTCCGCCGGAGGACCTCCCGGGCGAGGTCCCGATGCCTGGGCTGGGGGGCTAGTGCGTGGAGGTGCTTGTGCTCGGTCTCCTTCTTGGCCCGCTGGCCATGAATGAGCCATCTCTCCTCCGAGGCGGTGCAGTCCCGGCTCGTCTTGGGGTCCCTTCCTGAGGGCTTGCGGCATCTAGGTGGGGTTCCGCCCTGGGTCTGCGTGGAATGGCCCTGCCCTTCCCTTCTCCGCGTCCTTCCACGCGCGCGTTCCGCGCGCTGTTGCGGGTCTTCGGGGGGGTCCGGGCGTCCGCGAGGGGCCGCCGTGCAGGGGCCCCTTCCGCGGGCCATTCCGTGGGGGTTGTCGCGGATGTCCACGTCGAGCAGTTCGCGGACCTCCGCCCCGTGCACTCCGTCCAGATTGTTGCCCTTCATGGCCGTCCACGCTTTGCGGTCCTCCACGACCGCTGCCTCCCAGTTTCCAGTAGCTATGATAAGCTCGTCTCCCAGGCGCGCCTCTTCCTTGGCGGTTTCCGGCGCGTGCTCCGGGTGGGCGTCGCAGTGGCGGCGGAGGGCCTCGGCTCATTCCGCCGCCCCTCCCGGCCCCGGGTGCTATGCCCACCCTCCTTTTCTTCCCGCGCCCTTGGCAGGGGGGCGTCGTGAAGTGGCAGCTCCCAGGAGTCCTCCGACCACTTGCTGGGGTCGTCGACCATGCCCTTCCTGCGCTTCCTTCCGGGTTCATCCAGTGCCATGCCTGCCCTCGTGGGTGCGCGCGCCGATGCGCGCCTCCCCCGTGCGCGTTAGGGTTCGGTGGGTGGGGTGCGCGTGGCCTCGCGGATGGCTGAGATAGCGCGCGGCCCCCCAAGTCCTTTTGATTCCTGCGCTGGGGGCCGCTTCGCGGGGCTCCGCGCGCTGGCGGGCCCCCGGCGGGTCCAGGCATGGGCCCGGCGAGCGAGGCCTCCGACGAACGGGTAGACGTTCGCCGAGACGACCGGCAAATAATTCTTCCGATGTAGCTGCTTGCCCGACGGGTTGACCGAGAGGGGGGGGCCCCGGGGGGCGCGCGGATCTAAGGATTACCACGGGTGCCCCGCGGGCCCTCGAACATTCGGGCGTTGCGAACCCTGGGCCTGGAGTCTCCGCAGTCTGATTCTTGAGCCGCTGCTGAACCTCTGGCCGCGTCAGGTAGTGGTCGGGCCTCGTCTCGTTTTCCAGCGGCGGTGGCGGGTTGGCGTGCAATCCCAGGGGGTCGTCCGCAGGGGTGTCCAGGCTGCGCGCCGCGTGGGTGGTCCGGGCGCTGCCGGCGACTGCGTCCTGGAAGTGTGGTCCGCAGGCGAACGCGGCTGTCTTTCCGACGGATTTGTGGTTGGGGTCCACCTCTTCTTTCCCGAGTTGCAATGCGGCTCGGGTGATCGGGGAATAGGCGGGGCGCCGCTCGCGCGCCCTCCGACGTGCGGTCCCTGCCTCGTCCCGGGTGGTGGGAGTCTGCCGACAGGCTTTGCGCTGCGCGTATCCTGCCGCTGTCACTTGAGTTTCCCTGTGGGCCTGCCGCTCCACGTGCTCCTCCCGACCTCCCATGGCGCTAGGGTCCTGGGTGAGGTCCGCAAGGGGGGCCGGGGGGTTTCTGGTGCCCCCAGCGTTGTTTTTCCAGCTGGTGCCTCCGGGCCATCTCGCCGCAGTCCACCGGGAAGACAGTCGAGGGGATCTTTGGGGGGGGGCATCAAGGTGGCTCCATTACTCTTTGTCCTGGGCGAGCGGTGCGCTGACCGGCCAGCGCGCCAGGCCCCTGATGGCTCGCGGAGGCGCACCTGGGCAGACCGAGCGAGACTTGAAAACCCAGCATTCAAGCGCCTGGCGGTGTCTCTCGTCGCGCTGGTGATGGAGCGGGGTCTTTGGGATTCGAAGGCATCAGAGATCATCCGACCATCGCTGGCGCGGTCGCCGTGCGCGCCTGCCTGGTCTCGTCCAAACCATGGGACCCAGTCCAGCAGCTGGTTGTTCCATTTTCGTGTCGTGCATGTGCCTGTCTTGACAGCGAACTGCAATTTCCCATTCCTCTGCGTCTCAACCCTATCACATAGTCCTCGTTCTCGAGCCTTCTGCTTGTATAAACAAAAGGGCCTTCTGACGCAACCTATCCATTCCTCCTCATGAGCCCTCGGAATCTGGTTTTTGTCGCAGCATCTTGCGACGTGCCTTCGAGAGCGCCATGCAGTCTTCCACCTTCATCGCCCAGCACGAGCATCCATATAAAGCCGCCGAAGTGACCTCCGAATCAGACAGCTTTAACCTCGCTGATAAAGGCTGCCCTTTTGAGCATAAGGCGTGTCGAAGCTTAGCAGATGCTTTCCAGGCAGCCGAGACGCGATCTGGTTTAAATCTGAGGCTGCCGTGGAACGGTGACGGCAGCGGGGCCACTTCGCACGTCCACCGCAGGAGGCTCTGGCCCCCATCCTCTTTTGGGGCCCTCTGGTTGACTGCGCTGCGGGGGCCTGGGCGAAGGGTCGGTGCCGGGGGAGGGAGCGCGGGGATGCTGCACCCTCGGGGGCTCCTGATGGAGGGCTGCGGCGCTGCTTCTGGTGTGGCGCTCTTGGCTGGCTGCCCTGGCTGGCTGACTATCCTGGCGGGTCGTCGCAGTGGGTGCGCCGTGGGCGGATGCGTCGCCCATGGCCGCCCTGTCGTGTTGACGCGGCCGCGCGTCTCCTCGCGCCTTTTTTTCGCCCTCTGTTCCTCGCTCCTTTTTCTGATAGTGACAGCGGCTGTCTGGCTGGGTGGCCAACTCGCCGCGCGCGTTTGCCCTTACAGTGGCACGGTGGATTGACCCTGTTCACCTCTGTCCGTCCTGACAGGTTTTGGGATGTGTCAATTTCTATGTTTGCTTGCAACTTGCGCGTTCGAAGCGTTTATTCATGCCTTTTTCCGGTGCTTGAAGTAATGGGCGCGGCTGGTGACGCAGCTTCTTGGTACGTTCCGGCTGGCGTTGCCACGCGTCGGTGGCGTTACCTCTCCCATCATTGCGGTCGCTTTGCGTTGCTGGTCCGTAGGTCAACACTCTAGAAGCCTGCCTCGCAAATCCACTGGGGTGGCCACACCACCAATCCGCCTAGCAGCTTGCGCTTCACTGTCTAACATCGCTCTGGTGACTCAGTGGCCGCAATCAGCCACGGGGTCTCACGCTTTAGTTCACTTTGAATTGAGTAATATCCTCGTTTTCTGGCCGCTGCATGTTTCGTTTGGGCTTACAGTTCCTCTAACACACCCATCGTTTGAATTTTGCAATGTGCGATGCTTGTACGTTGCGCTATCGACAATGCTTGGTCGCAGTTGGCACCTCTATCGTCTGCTCGCGCTTGGGGGCCCTCTGAGCCGCTGTCTGAAAAAATGTGGGCTGGTGGGCAGGGTGAGCGGTGGTGGGAATGAGGTTGCGGCGGTGGGGGTGGCGGGAACAGCATGTAATCGCAACGGGTGGGTGATGTTTGGGCAGGTCGGGGTTCTGGCGGGGGGGAGGGCCGTCGTGCCGTAAGGAAGGCATGGGAAAGGGCTCATTTAAACGGAGGGAGACAAAAGGGGAACATGAGGATCAGGCTGATCAGGCTGTCATGACGATCAAAAGGATGAGAAGCAACGCCAGAAGGGGAAGAGGACGATGAGGAGAAGGATGAGGAATAGGATCAGGAGGATACATCTTATGATGCGACAATAAAAGGGAGATCGGCGTCAGGAGCAGGAGCATTGGAAGGAAGACTGAAAACGAAGGTAAGGAGGGGAATGGGAGTGGGTAGACGGGATGCCCGTACAATGCAACGGGCAAGCTGCCCCGTGCTGGTCTCCAAGCGGGGGCTGGAGTCGGCGCTGCTGCGAGCCGGCCCCGACAGGCCCAGCTGCATGGTGAGGTGCACCAGCGCGTCGAGCTTGCGCTTGTGCCCCTGAGGCAGCAAGGAGCAGGCGCAGAGGAAGAGGAGGAGGAAGAGGAGGAGGAGGAGGAGGAGGAGGAAAGATGGGAGGAGAGAGAGAGAGAGAGAGAGAGAGAGAGAGAGAGCGGAGGGAAGAGAAGAAAAAGGAGGAGGAAGTGGAAGAGGAGGAGGAGGAGGAAAATGAGTATTGGGAGTGCTGCGGAGGGGACGCGATGCCCCTCAGCTCATACAGACTCGCCTCTCAGGCCCTTGACATCCACTTCCCCCCATGCCTGACTGCAGGACTTTGCTTGCTTGGGCCACGGCCTCTGATGGGCCTTCATTGCTGGGGTGCAAGCCGCGAGCAATTCGCAAGATGTTTCTTTACCCTTCAGGGTTACGGGGTGCATTTCTGTGTAGGGTGCTTCCCCATCGAGGTGGCAGTCCTGCCGCCGGCGCTACAGACATACAGGCTGTGCTCAGGCCAGCGAGGCCGCGCCCCAAGCCAGAGAGTCAGATTAAGTGCGACCCGCGGCCAGGAACACTGTACGATGAGGACGACGAGGATCGCCTGGTACTACTGTTGCGCAAATCTCTCGGATCCTTCCTTCTTGCGGAGGGAGGTGCCTGATGTGTGACCTTGTTCCCTCTGGAGGGCCACGACTGGCTGCCAAGACTGGCCTCTGGAGCCCCGTGGATGGTGTAGGCAAGCTGGCCGCCCCCCCTGGGATCAGGCCTCGCTCTTCTCCCTGTCCTCCTGGTCCTCCTGCTACTTTTCCGCCTCCGCCTCTTCTCACTCCACCTCGTCCTCTTGCTCCTCCTTCCCTTCCTCGTCCTCGTCTTCATCTTCCCCCTGCTCCCTATCCTCCTCCTCCTCCTCCTCCTCCTGCTCCTCCTCTTCCTCTTCCTCCTCCTCCTCCTCCTCCTCCTCCTCCTCCTCCTCCTCCAAGCGCCAGCTCGGTCCTAGCCTGCCCGGCTTGCGAGCTAGCGCCAGGGCGGCCTCCTCGGCCGCCGCTTCGCCCCGTCCCCTCCGCCCCTCTCTGGCCATGGCCCCATGGCTTGCTGATGCTGGCCGCCCGGAGCGGCCCCGCCGCACTGCAGCGGAGCGCCGCGCCCAAGCTGGCAGGGCGCAGGCGCGCGCAGTGCAGGTACTGCTGAAGTCCTTCGGCAGCCTCGCCCATCGGGGCTGCCAGCCCACTCGCGTCGGCGGGGCGCTCGAGGCTGCTCTACGTGCCCATGGTGCTCAAGCCGCGCGTGAAGAAGAGGGCGGAGGTCGATGTGAAGATGATGGGAAGTGCAAGGGTATGGACAAAACATGCACTGATGATGGTCCCGCACCTCCTGCCGCTCAAGGTCTTCACCCTGATCCTTGGAGCGGTGGTCGTGACCCGTGGTCATCCGCTGCGCCTGCCCGGAGGCATGCAGATCTTCGTGGAGCCGCTGCAGGTGTTGAGCCTCCTCTGTGTGCTCATCCTGCGCCTCCTGACGAGGCACGTGCCGAGGCCGGTCCAGCTCGGAGCAAGGGCAACGGCGAGGACAAGGAGGTGTGCACTGGCAAGGACGAGGGCCGGGACGGCCCTGACCCAGAGTGCCAGGGTTGCGCGAGGGGCCCGCCGCTTCGGCAAGCGTGCGTGCAGTGAGTGCGAGGCCGCGGAGCGCCTGCAGCAGCGCAGGGATCGGTTCTCCCCATGTGTCCCCCCTCCTTCGCCTCTGCCGCGCCGTGCGGGCCGCGGGCGATAGCGAGGCGTGCAGCCGCTGGGACGGCGTCGCATTGGCTGGGGCTTTGACAGGTTGGCGTGAGGAGCGAGTCTGGGTAGGTTCCCGCCTCGGCCTGCCACGCGCTCGCTGTCCCGAGCGTGGCAGGAGGGGTCGGGGGTCCACTCCCGCTCCTTTCGCTGGCTTGTCTCAGCCTGACAAATGAAGTGTCCAATCCAATCCAATCTTCCTCCTCCTCCTCCTCCTCCTCCTGCGTGGCCTCTAATCTTCATCCTTGGCATGGTCTTTATCCTTATCCATTACCCCCTCATTCTCGTCCTCGTTCTGCTGCACGGATTTTGGATGATTGGTGCAAGGCTTGGGACAATGCGCGATGCTTCTTCGTCCACTGCGCCTCGCCGATGGATTCCCGATTGCGCATGGCCTTGGGAGAGGTATGCCTAAGGGTGAAATAAATCTGCGTAGTGTTTTTGCGTAGTGTTTTTGCGTAGTGTTTTTCGCGTAGTGTTTTTCGCGTAGTGTTTTTCGCGTGGTGTGTTTGCGTAGCATTTGATTGCGCAGTGTTTTCGCGTAGTGTGTGTGTGTGTGTGTGTGTGTGCGTAGCGCATCTGCGTAGTGTTTTTGCGTAGTGTTTTTGCGTCGCGTACTCGCGTCGTGTGTTTGCTGAGTGCGTTTGCGTAGTGTATTTGCGTCGTGTATTTGCGTCGTTTATGTGCTGAGTGCGTTTGCGTAGTATATTGGCGTAGTGTATTGGCGTAGTGATTTTGCGTAGTGCTTTCGCGTAGTGATGTTGCGTAGTGATGTTGCGTAGTGTTTTTGCGTAGTGTTTTTCGCGTAGTGCTTTGCGTAGTGTATTCGGGCAGTGTTTTTGTGTAGTGTTTTTTAGCGTCGTGTTTTCGCGTAGTGTGTTCCCGTAGCGCATCTGCGTAGTGTTTTTGCGTAGTCTTTTTGCGTCGTGTATTCGCGTCGTGTGTGTGTGTGTGTGTGTGTGTGTGTGCTGAGGGCGCTTGCGTAGTGTATTGTGGTAGTGCATTTGCGTAGTGCAGTTGCGTCGTGTATTTGCGTCTTGTGTGTGCTGAGTGCGTTTGCGTAGTGTATTGGCGTAGTGTGTTGGCGTAGTGCATTTGCGTCGTGTTTTTGCATAGTGCTTTTGCGTAGCGATTTTGCGTAGTGTTTTTGCGTAGCGTTTTTCGCGTAGTGTGTTTGCGTAGTGTTTTTGCGTAGTGTTTTTGCGTAGTGGTTTCGCGTAGTGTTTTCGCGTAGTGTGTTTTGGAGTAGCGCATCTGCGTAGTGTATTTGTGTAGCGCATCTGTGTAGTGTTTTTGCGTGGCGTATTCGCGTCGTGTATTTGCGTCGTGTGTGTGCTGAGTGCGTTTGCGTAATGTGTTGGCGTAGCGTATTTGCGTCGTGTATGTGCTGAGTGCGTTTGCGTAGTGTATTGGCGTAGTGTATATGCGTAGTGTTTTTCGCGTAGTGCGTTTGCGTGGTGATTTTGCGTAGTGTTTTCGCGTGGATGTTTCTCGCGTAGTGTTTATCGAGTGATGTTTTCGCGTCGAGTTTTTGCGTAGTGTTTTGCGTAGTGTACTCGCGTGGGGTATCTACGTAGTAGATTGGCGTAGTGTATTTGCGTAAGGTGTATCTGCGTAGTGTATTTTCGTAGTGCGTTTGCGTAGTGTATTTGCGAAGCGTTTCCGCGTGAATGTTTCTTGCGTAGCGTTCTTTGCGTAGTGTTCATCGCGTGGTGTTCTCTCGTAGTGTTGTTGCGTAGTGTTTTTTTTGAATAGTGTTGTTGCGTATTTTTTTGCGTAGCGTTTCTGCGAAGCGTTTTTGCGTAGAGTGTTTGCGTAGTGCGTTTGCGTAGCGTATAGGCGTAGTGTATTTGCGTAGTGCGTTTGCGCGGTGTATCTGCGTACGGTTTTCGCGTGAATTTTTTTCTGGCGCAGTGTTGCTTGCGAAGACAAGGTTCGTTAAACCACCTACGCCCAGTGGGCTGGTGCGACAAAGTTCCTTAAACCACCTACGCCCAAAATGGCACCAAAACCATAGGAAAATCAATGTTTTGGCCGATGGGCCTCGGAGGCTTCGAGATCGCCCCAAGATGGCCCAAGAGAGCTCCAAGAGGGGCCCGGCCCAGAGGGCTCCCAAAGCGCCCAAGAGCGCCCCAAGACGCCCCTTTCGAGCCTCTCAGGGGGGGCGGGGGGGCTGAATCGGGGACTCCCCCTCTTTCGAGCCACGGGGCCCAACACAGCCCCAAGAGACCTCTCACCCCCCCCAGAGAGCCCCAAGAGGGCCCCAAGATGGCCCCAAAAGAGCCCCGCGAGAGTCCCTAGGGGGCCCCAAGAGGACCCCAACTGGACCCCGAGAGTTTTCCTCCTCCCTCTCTTCCTACTCCTACTCCTATCCGCGGCTACCTGGTATCGGTCCTTGAATGTTCCTCCTCTTCCCCCTCCTCCTCCTCCTCCTCCATATCAGTCCAAAGTTCGTCGTCCTCCTCCTCCTCCTCCTCCTCCTGCTCCTCCTGCTCCTGCTCCTCCTCCCTGTACACCAGTTCTAGCAAATATCGGTCCAAATTCCCCCCCCCCTCCACGCCTCCGCAACTGCCCGCCTCCTGCGGCGAACGTGACGTGAGACGCGGGCGACGCGCTGCGTTGGGATTCGGACGTGTTGTTTCCCTGTAGTAGCGCGCCGACTCGGAGCGCTCCTGATAACACTACGTAAAAACACGACGCAGAATGAATGCCCTCGTGGGCATCGTCTCGCACCAGTTCCGCCCGAATCCGCGGCAACCCACGGCGTCGGGCGAAACTGCCCAGAGACGCGGGCGTCGCGGCATGCTGCTGCGCAAGGGTTTGGGCGTGTTGGCGTGGTGGCGCGCCGACTCGGGGCGCTCCTGCACGCACTGCGTAAAACCACTATACAGAATGCCCCCGTCGCCCGCATCTCGCGCGAATTCCGCTCGAAACAGCGGCTCCCCGTGGCCTTGGGCGAACGTGACGTGAGACGCGGGCAGCGCGGGTTTGGGCGCCGTTGTTTGCTACGTGGTTGCTTGCCGGCTCGGGGCGCTCCTGGAAACACTACGTAAAAACACTACGCAGAATGCCCTCGTCGCCCGCGTCTCGCGCCAGTTCCGCCCGAATCCGCAACTCCCCGCGGCCTCGGCCAACGGTGACGAGAGACGCGGGCGACGCGGCATGCTGCTGCGTGGGGTTTGGGGCGTGTTGTTCCCGCGTAGCAGCGTTGCCGTCTCGGGGCGCCCCTGAAAACACTACGTAAAAACACTGCGCAGAATGCCCTCGTCGTCCGGACTTCGCAGGGCCGCGCCAGCCGCTGGAGCGCCCGCTCACGAGACCTCCCTGGTCACACAACGTACTGTGCGGATGTGACGTACTCACGTGCGTAATGTTTCTCCGTAGTGTGTGTGTGTTTGCGTAGTGTTTGCACGTAGTTTTTTTTTTTTTTTTTTTCCTGCGTAGCTTTTTTTTCCCCCACCCTTTACGTAGTGTGCTTTATTTTACCTTAAAAATTTCTATTTCACCATTAAAATTTCGATTTCACCATTAACCACAATCGTGTTTTCGCAAACAATACTTACTGATGGTGGAAACGCTTCGGCGGTCCAGATAAGCTCTGGCCTGGCCGTGGGACTTTGCGGGGCCACTAAAGCAGCGGCCCAGCCTTAAGCCATTCGGGAGCCTAGATAAGCCCCCGCCCCGCCTTCGGTCCGTCCGCATGGTTGGAATCCCAGATCGGCTTCGCCTGACTGTGCGCCGTCGGTGGCCTCCCGCTTCGCCTAGGTGGCTCCTGCCGAAAGCTCCTCGGGGGCTTGAGCACGCCGCCGGCTTGCCTTGCGCCCCTCGGGGGCTTGAGCAGCCTTCGCCCCAAGGGCCCCATTGGCCAAGACTCCGCATTCTGACCCCTTCAGCGGCCCAGAAGCATGTTTAGCCTTTCCTCAAACCACCCGGGGGGCCTTGATGAGCCCCCGCCACTTCTTAACCGCTGGAAGCCCAGGCTCCCTCCCAAGATGAGCCCTGACGGCCCCGCGCAGTCTCGACCTTCTCGGGTGAACTTCTGCCCCTCCTCGAGCCGCCTCTGCGGCTGAGATGTGCCCCAGCTCTTCCTCGAGTTTCTCCGGGGCCAGGGGGCCTGGGCAATCCCTTCCCAGCCTTCGGCCCCTCGGGGGCCTGGATATGAACGCGTGCCGCCTCGAGCCCCTCGCGGGCGCAGACCGATTCGCCCCGCCTTTGCACTCTTCTCGGTGGCCTAGCTCAGCCTGCCGTGCCTCGCCCCCCTCCCCCAGAGGCCTAGGACCCCACCCCGTCTGGACAGGCAACCGCCCCGCCTCTGTCTCCTCGGTGTCCAGATGCGCGCCTTTGGCTCCCCAGGACCACGGATAGTAGACAGTCTCCCGCCTGGCCTCAAGCTCCACGGTGGTTCAGGAAAGCTCCCTCCCAACCTTGGGCCGCTTTGCACGACGCACTCCCCGCTTCGTGCCCCTCAGGGCCTACGTGAGCTCCCGCCCAGCCTACGCCCCTCAGAGATCTCTGTGCGCTCCCTCTCGGTGTTAAGCCACTCGGGTGCCTGGCTACCCCCTCCCGCCCCGCCTCAGGCCCCTCGGGAGCGTCGATGTGCCTCCGCCTTGCTTAAGGCCCTTCAGAGAGCCTCGATAACTTCCAACCGCCGTTTCAGTTCGTCAAGGGCCCGAATAAGCAGCCACCCCGCATGCCAGCGGTGCCAAGCTCGGGGGCTTCGATATACCCTCGCCCCGCCTTTGGCCTCTTCGGGAGCTTAGACTGGCTGCTGTGCTGACGAAGAGGCAAGCCATCTCTCGGAAGCCGCTCGGGCGGCTGCTGCGGTGAAGGGCCGGGTCCACGAGAAGTCGATGGAGAGGTCGGCGGTGTCGCTGACAACGGTGCGGGCCATCAGATTAGAGCCGCGGGGGCGGATGACTGCGGATAAGATCTTGATCGCGGAGGCGGAAGTACATTCTCCGCAGACGGGAGGGTTGCGGCGGAGGGACCAGCGTCACCTCGGTTTGTCCTTGCATCACAGGGAGCGGAGTGGCAGCCGTAGGGAGGCTGCCATTGGTAGAGCTCGCTGGGGCCAGTGGGAAGGTCGGTGGTGTGGCTGACTAAGTTCGAGTCAGCACTCAGGAGCCGCGGTGGCGACTGGCTGCGGTCAAGAGCTGGTGCTGGGAGAGGTCGGTGGCCAGGTCAGGCGCGTCTCTGGCAGCGCTGTGGGCTAGCACTCTGGAGCCACGGGGGCGGCCAACTCTGCGGTCGAACGCGTGGGCCAGGATGCAGGATGTGGACGTACGGTCTCCACTGGCGCGCGCGGCGCGGCGAAAGGGCCGGCATCACACCGGAGTGGTGGGGGACTCCCGAGGGCAGGCCAGAGTGTGAGTGGGAAGTGACATATGCAGCTAGACAGCCAGACACGGGTCGGAGCTGGGGGCGCCGCGGGTGCCCATCTCGCCGGCAGCAGTGGCGCTGCGTGCTGCGCCGGTGCGGCTGCGCATGGCCGACGTGGGTCCCGTCCTGCTGAGAGCAGTGGTGCTCCCAAGTGCACGGGCGCTGCCGCGAGGGGCCCCACTGCTTCCCGGTGTGCGGGAGACAGAGGTGTTGCTGACGGCCTGGGTGTGGTTGGGAGTGCGCTGGCTGCGAGCGGTGCTGCCGGCCTCTGGGTAAGGAAGGATCGTGGTGGTGGTCGCGGTGGTGCGGCAGCGAACTGTGCTCCTGGGTACCGTCGTGCTGGTGACGCGGGTGTGGCAAGTCTTGCGAGTGCGGCCACTGGTGCTCGGTGGGCTCCCGTCGAGCTGGAGTCAGTGCTGCAGGAAGCTGCGTGTTGACTGCCCGCTGGTACCATGGCGCCTGCTGGCGGGGCTTGACAGGCAGTTGGGCACGTCTGTCCCTGAGTGGCTCTGTGGCCTTCCTGCGTGCATGGAACAGTGTTGCTGATGGCTGCGCAAAGGGGCGCTGCGAGTGGCAATGCTGCGCCCAATGTGTGCGAGGCGGCGAGCAAGCGTCGGCAAGGAAGGAAGACGGAAGGTACGTCCGCAGGCGTGGGGGGGAGCGCGAGCATGGGCGGCATCCCGTGCGAAGGTGGCAGGCCCGGAGGGGCGAGCGGACGTGTGCAGGGGAGCCGCCTCGCGGAGCTGAGGTGACCTGGGCAAGGTCAGGGACGCAAGGAGTGCGGGAGCGAGCGCTCGGGGACCACGGGGGTGGCAGGCATCAGAGCGGTGGTGGAGAGGCAAGCCTGGATAAAAAAATGGTCGGTGTCGTGGGAGAAAGAGAAGAGAGAGAGAGAGAGAGAGAGAGAGTGGTGGAGGGCCCAGCGGCATCAGGACAGGTCAGTGCAAGGGTGCAGCGTGCAGCGGCAGAAACGCACAGCATCGGTGAAGTCGGCACCGCCACATGGCCTGACTTTGAGTCGGATTGGCACCACACCGCAGCGGCAACCCTCGATACCTTGAGCCAAAACTGCTGCGGGAGGAGGAGCAAACGACACGCTTTTTTGGGGGGGAGTGCTGCGGGAGGAGGAGGTGGAGGAGGAGGCGGAGGAGGAGGAGGAGGAGGCGGAGGAGGAGGAGGAGGAGGAGGAGGAGGAGGAGGAGGAGGAGGAGGAGGAAGAGGAGGAGGCGGAGGAGGAGGAGGCGGAGGAGGAGGAGGAGGAGGGGAGATGGTCGACCTGGCGCCTGCTGTTGACCCCCTCCCACTCGCTCATCTCGCTCTCCTCCGCGTCGGTCTCGTAGCCGCCCTCGTAGCCGCTGTCCTCGGGCGGACCCGCCGAGCGCCCCGCGCCCGGGCAGCAGTCGGAGGGGACCTGGCCAAGCAACGATGATCGATTGGTGAGGAGGAGAGGAGGGGACTGGGACACACACATAAATAGACACAAATAAACATATTCCCCATATTTTCCCATATTTTCTGGGGTTTTGTCTTCCCCCCCACGTCCCATATTTTCCAATATTTTCTCGGGAATCGACGATTCATTGTGTCTGTGTGTTTCTTTCCCTCCTGAGAGGAGGATGGGGAAGCACTGGGGAGGAGAGGAGGGGACTAGACGAATGTGCCCGTCTCGCTGCAAGCGCCGTGCTCCTCCAGAGCCTCCCTTGCTCGAGCCGCTCCTCGGAAAGAGCCCTTGGCCATCGTGGCAGCTTCGACCTCCCCGCAGGTCCACCGAGTCGGGCCGCTCTTCTCTCGCGTGCACGGGGCCTGGTGGGATTACTCATGGGCCCTGCCCTCCCCGGCCCTCTCCCCTCCCTCTCCCCTGTCCTCGCCTCCACACCTACTCAATACTATACTACTCTCTTCTCTCCCCGCTACGTCCTCCAAGTATCAGTTTTTGGCACACAGGATTTCGATCATTGATGTTCAGATGTTTTGTCGTTTGGACTTCTGCGGTGTTTCAAGCTGGTGCTCCCGATGCAGCGTGGGCCTCATTTCATGATCGGCGCTTCGCCCCCGTCGTTCACAATGGGGCGCTCGCCGCAAGATTGGGAACTTTTCTGAATCCGCGAGTCCTTGCTCATCGTTGTCGCTCCGCTCCTTCCCCCTCCCCCGCCTTCCCCCGGTCATCCCGCTCTTCTCGCTCCTCCCACTCCTGTTCCGGCTGCTGCTGTTCCTCCTCGTCCTCCTCCTCTTCCTCCTGCTCGTCCGCCACCTTCTCCTTCCATGTACGCAGCTCCCCTTCTCTAATAGCGCATGGCACGGTGGCGTCCTCTTGGGGGTTCCAGGTCCGCTATGACACCCGGCGGCGGATAGAGAGCAAAGCAGCGCAATGGGAAGGGATGGGTGTGAGGGGTGGGATCCCTTCCCTCTCCCCTCTCCTCCCCCTCCCCTCTCCCCTCTCTCCCCCTCCCCTCCTCCCCTCTCCCCTCCCCTCTCCCCTCTCCCCTCCCCTCTCCCCTCCCCTCTCCCCTCTCCTCCCCTCGCCTCCGCTCACCGCCTCCACTCCCATAAGGGCCGCCCAGAGCAGCGCGGTCCTCGGTGTTGCTCGACCACCCCGGCGTGGGCTCGATGCGCTTGAACCCGGGATTGGAGCCCGTCGCCGTGCCGTTGTCCAGGGTGGAGCCCTGGGCGGTGAGCCAAAAGAGCTCCGCCCACGCCCGAGCCTATTGCCCCTCTGCTGCTGCCCCCCCCCCCCACCTCCAGGCAGGAGGTGGGGGACAAGGGGCGCACCAGCACCGTGGGGAGGGGGCGCAGGGGCAGCAGGGAGAAGAAAGGCCTGGGGCTGAGCCAGGCGGGCTGGGGCTCGCCATCGCTCGGACGTCCATTCCCTGTGTTTTTGTTTTCGGTTTCGTGCGTGGCTTTTTCGCCAAGTGATCAAGGATGCTCCTCGATGGCCCTCGCCGACGGAAAAATGCACACGCCCGAGCGATGCCGAGGGGGGCAGGCGGCGTGGAAGAGGCGCGCGCGCGCGCAGGGGCGGGTCTTCTTAAAACAGGGCTAGGATCGGGATAAATCGATCCAGAGCGTTCCGGAGCGCTCTCAGAACGTTCCGGAACGCTCTGGAGCGGCCGCGGCGCCCAATACATCCTCCAAGCCCGCCGGTTCTCAGAGATTTCGAATTATCCAGATCCGATTTTGTCCCGATCTTCGCGTCGTTTTACTTCTCCCCCTGGGGCCTGGGCCGCGAGGCTCTGCAGGGCCCGCAGGCCGCGCCGCCGCTTGTCCTTGGACAGGCGGCGGTAGCTCCGCGCGAGCGACAGCATCAGGTTCTGGGTGCCGCCCGGGCCGAGGTCCGTCCGCAGGTGGGCCTTCTCTCGCCGACGCCCGTGCCTCCACTCCTGCCTCGTGCCTCCTCCTGCCTCCTCCTGCCTCCCCCCCCTCCTCCTCCTCCGCCTCCTCCCCCCTCCTCCTCCTCCCCCCTCCTCCTCCTCCTCCTCCTCCTCCTGAAATCTCCCCACGTTCCACCTGCTGCTGCTTCCGCTCCTGCTCCTTCCTCCTCTCTGTCCACTCCCGACGAACTTTTCGCGAAGCATGCGCTACGCCTTGTCAGCGGGGAATTCCGGCAAGGGTGCTTTCGATCGCCCAGCCTTGGCGGCCATCTGCTCGTAGAACCTCTCGAAGTTGGCGGTCTGGAAGTCGTCGTCCTCCGTGTCGAGAGCGTTGATCGACGACTCAGTCGGGCCCTCCGACCTCAGGGTCTGGGCCATCACGAGGCCGAGCACAAATTGCGATCACGTGGTCCGACCCCGCACGCGAGCAAAGCGGCTTACCATGCTGCTCGCCAAGCTCCCACGGGACTGAAATGGGTCGACCCCGAGAACGATCCCCCCGAGACCGATCCGTACCGACTCCGGTAGAATCGATCGGGTGATCAATAACCAACGTCATGACTCACTTCGATCATCGTGATCAATTCGTGTCGTCGACGGGTGGAGAGTTTTCGGCCCCTATCCAGCGACGGGGGCGCTCGTCACCGAACACCAGCCAAAGAACGCCGTACGTAAGGCACAACTTGCGAAAACCGCCCAGCGGGCAACTGCCTGCCCTGCCTCCAGGGGCTAGCCAGGCTCACCAGCCACGTGATTCGGTGGTGCGGTCGGGGAGAGGTCGGCAAGCGGGTGGCATCCGCATGGCGTGCTGACGGAGCGGGCGGGGGAGACAGGCGAGTGAGGAGATACTGAGGGTGAGGGGAGGAGGAAGGAGGAGTTGGCAAGGAGAGGGGGCAAAGGGCGGGGGGGGGGGGAAGGGAGGGTGGGAAGGCGATCGGCGCTGCCGCGCCCCCGACACGCCGCTCTCGTGCGCAAGCAGCAGCTTGATGTTCGAAAGCCCTGGCGGAGGCACCGCAGGCGCGGCCGCCTGTGGAGCGAAGCAACTCGCGCGCACGCCCGCTGTCTCCTCCCTTCGCACTGTCGGGCGCCCCCTTGCCGATTCTCAAGTCTGACGCTCGAGCTCCCTTAGGTGGACGGGAGGGGGGCCCATCGGCCAGGCCTCTCGTGGCGAAAAAAAGGCAACGCGCCTGCCAGAGGAGAGGGAACAACACTGCAAACCAACATCACTCGATCACGTGCGCGTCCACGGGGCTCCCGCTCGTTGCTGCTTAATCGCGCCCACCCGCAATCTCTTCGAAACGGGGCGTAGTGCCTCTTCTCGCTGGACACAACGCGCCAGCTGGGCCATCAATCAGAACTGTAGCTCCATGCTCGGGGGCCCTGTCTGGGAAACGGAGCCTCACGAGCCTTCGAGCCTTGAAAGCAAGGGGAGTAGTCCGACTGTCTCACTTCTACTCGCCTTCCTCGACTTGATCCTTCTCCTCTTCCCCTTCTTCCTCGTACTCCTCCCCCTCCTCCTCGGTTTCGTTCTGCTCCCTTCCTCCTCTCCTTCTCTGACGCGTGTTACTCGCGCAAGAGCAGACGGAAGAGGATGGACGAGAGAGGAGGGGTGGAAGGCAGGGCAGGGAACGGACGCCCCCGCGTCCGCTTGCAACAGAGACCGCCGCGGCGGCGACGCCGCTGGCGCGACGGTACGCTCCGGGGAGATCACGCTCGGAGGGCGGCGCAGAGACGGGGGACGACGGATCCAGGAGGGCCCCCTGGGAGGCCGCCAGGAGAGCCCCGCAAGGACCAACGCCTAGCCCGAGAGCAAGTCACGCGGGAGCCTCCTTGCTCCTGGGGGGGGGGGCATCATGGGAAGGCTCTTGGGTGCACCTCGGGGCCTCCAAGAGGGGCTTTGGGGCATGATGGGAGCCGTACCCGCCAGGACATGTCCCCGACTTCCATCTGGGCCCCCACTTGGGTGCTTCCTGGGCCCTCTTGGCTCTGGCGCGCCGCTGGGACGCACCTGGCCATCGTGGCATGGGGAAGACGACACGAGGACGACAAGGGAGGAGGGAATGAGGAGAGGAAGGGGGAAGACAGGAGGGAAGGGGATGGGTGGACGGATGGAGAAGAGGCGGGGAAGGGGAGCAGAGCGGAGGGGGGAGCGGGGAGAAGAGGGAAGCAGCGAGACGGGCGGGGGCGAGGAGGGAGGCAGGAGAAGAGAGGGGAGGGCACGGGCGCGGCGGGAGAGGGGGCAGGGCGACGAGGGAGGGGCGAGGGGGGAGAAGGAGGGCAGGGGAGGGGGGCCAGGGGGGAGCGCCTGAGGCACGGGGATGGGAGGGGAGGCACGAGGCGACGTGGCGCTCCCTGCCCCCGGGCCGCCGGCACTGCGCCCTGCGCCGCCCCGGGGAACAGCGGCGGCCGGGGCGCGGGGGGAGGGCGGCCGCTGGCGAGGCCCGGCGGGGAGCGGCCGGGCGGCGCCGGGCATGCCGGGGCGGCGCCTGCGGGGGAGAGATCTCGGTGGCCCTTGCGTGTCCCCCTCTCCTCCCTGCCCTCGTCTCCCCTCTCCTCCCCCTCTCCCCTCCGCTCCCTGCCGTCTCGGTCCCCCGTCCTCCCGTCCCCCAGGGGTGGAGGAGGCGGAGGAGGGGGGGGGCAAGTTAGGTGCGCTCGGGTCAACATCTGACATGCTACCCCTCCCTCCCATCCCTTACCATGGCGCTGATTTTCTCTATCCGCGGACGCGTGTCGTAGCGGACCTGTGGCTCCGCGCGCGTGTGCGTAGTGGGTGGTGGTGCGCGTGCGTGCGTGCGTGTGTGCGTGTGTGTGGTTGTTGTGGTGGTGGTGCGTGTGTGGTGGTGGTGTGGTGGGCGGTGGTGTGTGTGGTGTGTGTGTGTGTGTGCGTGTGTGTGTGTGTGTGTGTGTGTGTGTGTGTGTGCGTGTGTGTGTGTGTTGTGTGTGGTGTGTGTGTGTGTGTGTGTGTGTGTGTGCGTGTGTATGTGTGTGTGTGTGTGTGTGTGCGTGTGTGTGTGTGTGTGTGTGTGTGTATGTGTGTGTGTTGTGTGTGTGTGTGTGTGTGTGCGTGCGTGCGTGCGTGCGTGCGTGCGTGCGTGCGTGCGTGCGTGTGTGCGCGCGTGTGATGTGGTGTGACGCGGTGTAGCGTGGTGGTGCTGGGTGGGGTAGTGCGGTGGTGGTGGCGGTGCGCGGTGCTGGTGCGCGTGCGTGCGTGCGTGCGTTGGTGGGTGGAAGTGGCGGTGGGTGTGCGTGCGGCGGGGCGGGGCGTAATTCGGCGCGGTGGTGGCGGGCGGATGGGCGCGCGAGAAAGAGGCCCGCGCTGGGGCGAGAACGCCATCCTGAACGACGGAGGCAAAACACCGATCCGAAAATGAGGCCCACGCTGCAGCGGGAGCACGATTCGGAACGATTCGGGAGCAGAAATGAAGCCGGCGCCTCTGCGAGAGCAGCATTTTGAAAAAAAACGCAGGCGAAAACCCAACTCCTGGGAATCCTGTGTGTAAAAAATCAGTACGCGGGGGGGGGTCGAATATTCCCAGCACGCCATCAGGGGAAGAGGGAGAGTAGTATTCATATTGAGTAATTGTAGAGAGGCGGGGGGCAAGCCAGGTGCGCCGGCACCAGATCTGACACCCCGCCTCTGCTGCGAGCGCCATGCCGAACGACCGAAGGCGTGCCTAGTGGAACGAGCCCGTCCAAGCACAACCTTTTTGAGGTCCTGAGTGCGAAGAGGCACACGCACGCGGGGTGGCCGAGGTGTAGGTAGAACGCAAGCGATCGGGGGAAAGGGAAGAGTCGTGCTCGTAGCTCGTGGACGAGCAGCTGTGAAGGGATTGGAGGGGGGGAGGGGGCGGGGAAAGCGAGGATGCCGACGGGGGAGGGGGAAGGGGAAGACCGAGAGGCCAGTGGGGGAGAGGGGAGAGGGGAGGGTACCGACGGGGGCGGCGCCGGACCTGGCCATCGCTCGGACGTCCATTCCCTGTGCCTTTTTCGGTTTCGTGCGTGGCTGTTTCGCCCAATGATCGAGGATGCTCCTCGATGGCCCTCGCCGAAGGAAAAACGCACACGTCCGAGCGATGCCAAGGAGAGGGGAGGGGGAGGGTGCCGACGGGGGCGGCGCTGGACCCCCGATCTGCCTGCAGCAGGCGCAGGGGCACAGGGCGCCGGGCCCCCGCAAGCGGCCGCGGCGTGCTCCCCGCCGACCTCCATGCTGCGCGGCCGGGCCTCCTCGGGGGGGAGGGCGGGCGTGCACGCGGACGCCGGGGCTCCCGTCGCCTTGCATAGCCCTCCCCTCAGTGCCTCTGCTCCCGCTCCTGGCCCCCTGGCCATCGCTCGGACGTCCATTCTCTCTGTCTTTTGTCGGCTTCGTGCGTGGTCTTTTCGCCAGATGATCCAGGATGCTCCTCGATGGCCCTCGCCGAAGGAAACATGCACACGTCCGAGCGATGCCAGGCCCCTCCCTGCCTCGTGCAGCCACTTCGGCTCGGGCCGCTCGGCGCCGAGCTGGTCGCGGCGGTGCGCGCGCGCGCGCGCTTTGGAGGAGGGACGTCGCTCCCTTCTGACGGGTTCGAGGCGGGCGCCCCGTCGGCGGCGGCCCAAGCCTCCTCCGGCGCCGTGCCCACGGTGCGGGGACCTGAGCCGTCGACCACTGTGGCGTGCAACCTTTGCCTCCGCGGCTGCACGTGGGGCTGTCCGAGCTCCAGACGCGGCAGACGGCATGGGCACGCGGTCTCTGCTATTTGGGCGCTCGGAGGGAGCGCTTGGCGCGGTCGAGGTGGCCGCTGGCCTCCCTTGACGCCCTCTGTGCAGACAGCCAGGAATGTGCTGAGAGGAACGGCGCAGAAAACCAGAATCTGGCAAGATGGCTGGCGCAACTTCCTGGGCGCGCACTTCGGGATGGCATCCAGGCGTGGAGCTCAACAGCGAGCTCTGGCAGCTGCTTGAGGTGAGCAGCGCTGACGTCAGCGAGAGGGTCGAGCTCAAAGAGGCGGAGAAGCTCTTGCAGCAGGAGCTACCGATGCCGCAGCAAGATACTTTCACGACGCCCAACAATGAGGTCAACGCTAACGGTGGTTCTTTCCACGCAAAGCACCACAAGTGACACAACTACATCGCGAATCAAAAGTTCGCTAGGCAAACCAGGACCGCACAAGCCGACCTGCAATAGGCAAATTCCTGCTGTGAACCGTGGCCTGAGCAGCACATCGACAGGGCAGTTGCGCCATGAGGGAGGAGGAGGACGAGGGAAGAGAAGAGGGCTGACAAGGAGGAAGATGAGAAGGGGATGAACTGAACGACGCTTCATGCGAAATGAACGCGCCAATGCGTGTTACGAAAGCGTGCAAATGGAACCCATAGACAATACATCGCACCGTTCCGGAGTGACCTCGCTCGCAGATGCCGACGAATGACACAGCCTGCGAGGTCAACGATAATCAGGAGATCCCAATCTGGAATGGAACGCAGCAAATTCATCGCACTCAGGACTTCATCAATACCACAATTGCCCGCTTCCAATTGAGAGAATTCATCGCCTCAATAAGTCTCCAGTCTCTTTCCTGCAAATCGTCCGATACGAGGTGGCGAGCGCGTATCACTTGGCAAGAATGTCGCACTGCTTCCACGGTGCTCTGGCACTCAGGCGGGGAGACGCTCCAAATCTTCGTCCGAGCTGGAGCCGGGCTTGCGTCTGCAAGGCTAGCGCCAGCAAGGCCGCTACAACAAACCGGGCCGCCTGACCTCCATGCCCCGCTTCAGGGGTTCAGATGGCAGAGTGCTTCTTCGGTCGAGCCCGGAGGCCGGCCCGAGCCTCGTCTTGGGGGCGCTGCAGGGGGCCACTCTCCATCGGGAGCTGCCGCGAAAAGCCCTGCGGGGACGGATGGAGAGCAATATCTGCAGCAACTCCTGTGAGCGGAGCCGTGCAGAGCAGTCTGGGCGTGAACACTCCCGGAGCAGGGAAGTCCCTGGACTGCATGGGGCGCAACCAACAAAAGATCCCGAGGCGCTGCTGCCAACCCCGACCCGTCAGCCCATGCTGAGGGGGACGGAGAGGGAGGAGACGGAGGGGGAGGCGGACGGACCCCCCTGTGGTGAGCGGCCGTCTTTGTGCACGCGCATCCTCCTCCAGCAGGGCACCCGATTCAAGACTGCGTCACTGTGGCCACCCAGCTGGAATTGGTGGGCTCCGACCTTGGGTCTTGTTGCGTTCTGCTCATATCATGATCCATCCCTCCTCCTCCTCCTCCTCCTCCTCCTCTTCCTCCTCTTCTTCCTCCTCCTCCTCCTCGTCCTCCTCCTCCTCCTCCTCCTCCTCCTCCTCCTCCTCCTCCTCCCCCAGCACTTGCCAAGAGAACCTGGCCAGGCAGGTGCACAGACCATCCTGGAGAGGCTGGGCGGGCAGTGGGCAGTGGTGCGCCGTTGGCGCCCCCGCCTTCCTCCAGGAGAGGGAGAGGGGGTGGAGAGGGGCAGGGAACGAGGGAGAGGGGGGGGGGGGCGAGGGAGGGGAAAGGTGGGGTGTAAGTGAAGGGGGAGAGAGGGAGACGGGGAATCAGGAATCAGGAATCAGAACAGTTGCGAAGCAACATCCACTGAGGGAGACGGGGAAGGGAACGAGGGAGAAGGGGGGGGGGAAGAGGGAGGGGAGGGAGGGGGGTGGAGAGGGGGGGTGGAGAGGGGCAGGGAACGAGGGAGAGGGGGGGGGGGAGAGGGAGGGGGAAAGGTGAGGTAAGTCAAGGGGGAGAGAGGGAGACGGGGAAGGGTTGGGGGGTGAACCCTCCTCCACGCCGACCTCCATGCTGCCAGCCTCCATGCCGCGTGCTGCAGCTGCAGCGGGGGGCGAGCCAGCATGGCGGTGGGCGCTGCTGCTGCTGCTGCTGCTGCTGCTGCTGCTGCTGCTTGCTGCTCCTGCTGCTTGCCGCCTTCTGCCTAAAACCCACTGCCGTTCCTCCTCGTGTCTCTGCCACTGCGTACCCAATCGAATTCCGGCTGCAGTTTGATGATTTCGACAGCTGGCACGTGACATGTGGCGCAGAGTATCTAAGCGTCGCAGATGCTTCTCTCTGTGTTGCGGATGAAGATGAGTCCAAGCTTTTTGCCGTATTTCACACCCCTCTCTCCTTCCCTCCCGTCTCTTGTCCCCTATGCTCTATCCCCTCCCATCCGGTGCCAGGATGGTGTCGACGTCGAGGTCGAAGGGGAGGTATGGAGGACGAGGTGGGTCATGCGGAAGAGGACGAATATGCGGTATGATGATAATGCTGCTGATGACGAGGGATGAGGAGGAGCGCAGGAGGAACAAATATGGGTGGTGGTTGACGATGGCGACGCTAGTAGCACTCGGGATACAACGGGAGGGATGGGAGAAGGACTTGAGCGAGATGAGGAAAGATGGCAGCAATAAAGATGTCGAGCTCCGGGCCCAAGCCAGAGAGTGGAAAGACCCGTGGCCATCGCGCAGACATTTCCCCCGCTCCCTGGTCCCCCTAGTTGCGTAGACGTCGGCGCCCCCTTCCTGGTCCCGAGCGTGGGAGGGGATCCGCGGCCACTACGCCAGCGCTCTCGGCCACGCCTTACTCAGACTTTCGCTGATATATATATATATATATATAAATATATATGTATATATATATAAATATTGTTGTGTGTTCTGAAATTCATGCTATCCTATCCCTTTTGTCCACACCTCGGCGCAGAGCCATGCTCCCATCGGTCTGTGCCGGCCTGGAGGTCCGAAAGAGCGCCGCTCCTCGAGGCGCTGCAGCAGGGCTGGCACAGCTGGCAGCGGGAGGCCCTGGAGGGGGCCACGGGCACAGCGGCGGGAAACCTCCCGCGGGCTAGTCTCCCAGGATGTTGGCGCTGATCGCCCAGCCAGGCCTGCCAGCAGCCACGGCCTCGGCGTACTCCTGCAGTGTGGCGCCCTCCATCAGGTCCTGCTCCTGGTCGCTCTCGCCCCCCCCCTCTCAGTCCTCTCCCTCCTCCTCCGCCACCCTCTCCTCCTCGTCCATGTCGTTACATGTTTCTTCTTCTTCTTCCTCCTCCTCCTCCTCCTCCTCCTCTGCCTCCTCCTCCTCCTCCTCTGCTTCCTCGTCCGTGCGGTCTCGCTCCTCGTCGCTCTTCGGGCGACTGCCCCACAGCCCGACGTCGAGCTCCTCCACGTCCGGCGTGCTCGCCTGGGTCGGCCATCTTTGGCGCTCGGCGTCGGGAGAGATGCGGCAGACATCCCATGCCCCCTGGCCTCGGGTGGAAGCGGGAAAGAACGAGGCATGGAATGAGAGATGAGAGGAGGGAGGGAGATGGGCGAGGAGAGGACCGAGCAGAGGGAGCCGAGGCATGTAGAGGGAACCAGGGGGAGGAAAGGGGAGGAAGGGACGAAGGGGGAGAGGAGGATGGGAGAGAAGGCTCGGCTGATCGGAGGCGGGGGGGGACGGCACAGAATGAGGGATGGAGGAAAAGCGAGATGAGGGAAGGAGTGAGTCGAGGCGGGGAAGAGGGAAGCGACATGAGGGTAGCAGCGAGAGGGGAGGGAATGGAGGGGAGAGGGAGGGTGGAAAGATGAGGGCGGAAGAGGTGGAAACACAAAGCGCGATCATCTCCGCGGCTGTACGGCCATCTGAGAGCCTTCAGAAGCCTTCAGAATTCCACCCCAAGAGCCTTCAGAAAGCGTACTAGGCACCAGAGCCGGAGAGGAAAGACGAGGAGAGGGATGAGGAGGAGTAAGAAGAAGAGGAGGAACACGATAAACATGCTGATGGGAATCACGGTGAATATGATTATGATTCTGCGTATAGATATACATTGCCGTATATGTATATATGGATTTGTATATATAGTAGTATGCATGCATCTATGTCTGTAAGTGAGTATGTATGCATGTATGTATGTATGTATGCATGTGTGTATGTATGTAGGTCTGTATGCATGTCTGTATGCAGGTATGTATGCATGTATGTGTGTCTGTATGCCCGTATGCATGCATGTATGCATGTAGCCATGTTTACACTTCTGTATGTATGTATGCAGGTGAATGAGCATGTATGTATATACGTGCGTATGTCTGTATGTTTGTAGGTGTGGATATATGTATGTATGTATGTATACATGCATGCATGCATGTATGCATGCATGTACATATGTATATATAGATGCGTGCATTTGTATACATACATCCACAAGATATGAAGGCTCGCTGCGTTTCGCCTTCTAATCTTAATCCTTGCACCCTACATGTCTTATTGATTCTGCGGTTAGCATATTGGTGTAGCCGCAATGTTGCTACGACCCATTCCCGAACCTGAAGTTTGGAGTGCTAACCTGGCGCAGCCCCGATTGGCAGCAGACCCGACGCGTTCCGTCCAAACCGAACGCCAGGTTCAGCACTCGCCCAGCACGAAGGGACGGCAGCTGCCGTCGCCAGTTGTCTCGTGCCGGAGGTGGCGCTCGCAAAAGGCGGATGTAGCCGAGGCTCAAGCGAGAGTACCAGTCTCACACACGGATGCGGCCGGCGCTGGGGCGGTGGCACAAATCTTGGAAATGGATGCGGCTGGCGCTTGGGCGGAGCACCATTCTCCCATGAGGGCTGTGGGAACCGTGCGAGTGGAGCGGAATCACAATAGTCAATGAGGGGCGTGGCTGGCGCTGCGAAATGAGTGCCGCGTTCCATGAAGGATTTGGCCAGCGCGCAGACGGCAGCATGACTCCCAGACAGGGGTGTGGCCAACACTCGGGCGAGAGCGCCAATCCCATCCATGTGCGCGACCGGCAGCATCATCTGCAATCAGGGCTGTGGCCGGCTCTGTGGCGACAGTACCGCTCGTATTGGAGAGTGTGGTTAGCGCTGGGGTGTCTGCGCCAATCTTGGATCAGGATGCGCCCACGGATGGGTATTGCAAACCGTACGAGCGAAGGAGGAGGAGGAGGAGGAGGAGGAGGAGGAGGAGGAGGAGGAGGAGGAGGAGGGGGGGGAGGAGGAAGAGGGGGAGGAGGAGGAGGAGGAGGAGGAGGAGGAGGAAGAGGAGGAGGAGGAGGAGGAGGAGGAGGAGGAGGAGGAGGAGGAAGGAGAGGGAAGGAGGAGAAGGAGGAGAGGAGGAGGAGGAGGGAGGAGGAGAAGAAGGAAAAGGAGGAGGAGGAAGAGGAGGAGGAGGAGGGGGAGGAGGGGAGGGGGAGAAGTGGGCTGTGGGAAAGCTGAGAAAAAGTGCCAGCGATGATCCTACGGCCCCGTAGGAAGGCAGGGTTCACATAGCGTCCCCCCGGGCCCACTTGCGGGTCCAGTGCCAAAGTTCGCACGGCGTCGTTCCGCTCGCCTCGGCACACCCATCACACGGATCGTGTCTTGGAGGGATGTAGTTCGCGTGCGGCCATAGTCCGAGGATTCACGTAACGTCACGTCCACCCGCACATGTCGACTGTCCGACCTGGGCTTTCGCGAAATCTGCCGTGAAATATTGGATGACTTGTTCGAGGTGCAGAACTTATCGCACCTGTCATGTACTCGCGCCGGAGCGAGCCAAGGCATATCATAACAAGCCAACATCTCAACACAACCATGGCTTGGTCCGTAAGCTGGCGGGGCGGCTGCATGTGTGGTTAGCTCTGCAAATTTGCACAGAAGAGAGACTGTAGCATTGAACCTTACTGCGGGGGATAGCATCATCAGCGAGAGAGGGGAAGCGACCCTCCCGCTTGCCTGTTCACCGTGTCCCTACACACTGCGTGCCAATTGGGTATGATGTAAACTACATCGCGGGCAGATCCTCGAACGCGGTAGTTCCATCTGACTCGAGGGCGTCCGCCAGGCCTCGTGTGTGGATCGCAGGCCTCACGTTGTGAATTGTTGCGCCCAGTCGTCTCCCATCGGGCTGCGTCGCGAGCAAGTGCGCGATCTCGGCGACCCCACACGCCCTCGTGGCGCAGGCGCTGGGTGGAACGTCCCCGAATCGGCATCAGGCCGCTTCGCTGGCCGACCGCTTGGCCGGCGGACCGCTTCGCTGGCGGACCGGTCGGGAGCACGAGCACCGCGGCCCGGAGCACGGCCGTCGCCTCACGCCAAGGGCGCAGGCAGCCTCGGCGTCGCCCTCCGCCACGGGCCTCGCCGCCAGCCCCACGATGTGCAGTGCTGCCCTCCCTCGCCCGCCAGGCGCGGGCCGGGCGGCCTGGGCCCGTGTTTCGCCCGCCTCCGCGCCGCAGGGCGGGCCCCCCCAAACTCGCGGCGTGTGCCACGCATGGCGCCGCACGTTGCGGCACAGGACGCCCATCGGCCGCCGTGTGACCTGGGGCGACGCCCCCGCGAGCACCTCCGGCTCGCCTGGGCGCCCTTCCTGCTTCCACGCCAGCCGCTCCCTGGATGAAATATTTCCACCGCGGAGCCGCCCACCGCTTGCGGTGATCCCGCCAGTCCGGCGCCTCGGGCGAGTGCTCATCGGGCCGACCCGCTTCACCGCCTCAGGTGGGGCGAGCATAAACGAGATGTGCGCCCCTCCAGCTTTGGGCCGAAGGGGGAACGGATGCTGATGATGAGGATGCAGCGAGTCATGATGATGATGATGATGATGATGATGATGAGGAGGAGGAGGAGGAGGAGGAGGAGGTGGACGTAAGCTCTCTGGTCCCCCGTCGGAGAAGTCGTTCAAGAGCCTCCTCAATTCTCAGCTCTCTTCTTTTGCACTCACGTTTGGCTGGGGCCCCCACCCAAAAAGGGGGCTGGGGGCGTTACGTTGCACAGCGTTCCAGATTGCCCTTCCTCAGCTTCCCTGAGCATTATTTCTCCCCACGAGGGCCCCACCACCCTCCCCCTCCAATCCTCACCGCTTCCTCTTGCGCCTCGTCTTCCTTCCTTCCTTCCTTCCTTGTTTTCTTCCTTATCCTTCTCCTACTCTTCGCCAGAAGCTGCTGGACGAAGCCCACCACGCGGTTGCCGTCCTTGTCGACGCGCGAGTAAACTTCCTGACCGCTGGTGTACTTCATGATGACGCTCCTCCACTCGGCCGGATTTCCTCCTTCTCTTAGGGTCACGAGGACCTCGGGGGCGGCACGGAATCTTTCTCTCCCTCTCTCTCTATCTCTTTGTTTTCGCTACCTCTCTCACTCTCTTTTCTCGATATATATATATATATATATATATATACATACATAGATATGAATGTATATCCATATAGACGTGAATGACAACTTATGTTTGTGTACTCCAGATTTCGTAATAAAGGGAGGGGGGTCTCATTTGGGGGGCGGTCTCTTCCAGGCTGTCTTGGAGGGCCTGGGGGGGTCTGGGGACGATGTCTTGGAGGGTTCTCCCACGGGGGGGGGGTCTGAAATGGCGTGTCTTGGAGGGTCCAGACCCCCTCCCTTTTATCACGAGATCTGGAGTACATGGAAATCTATGCTTACTAGAACCGATCTATATATATATATATATAACTATCAATATATATATATATATGTGTGTGTATATATATGTATATATAAAACTACATAGATATGAATGTATACCCATATAGACGTGAATGAAAACCTATGTTTGAGTACATGGAAATCTATGTTTACTAGAGCCACGCTCGCTTCGGGCGCGCCCAGGCTCTGCCCACCTTTGTTGCCCACGTGGTGCGGAATCATCGGCTCCGCGCTCCTGCTCGGCAACATTCGGTGACACCCCTGCGCGGGTGCACACGTGGCGCGCATCTGCGACCAGAAAACGCTTCTCCTCCTCCCCAGCCCCCTCCTATTCCTCCTCCTCCTCCTCCTCCTCCTCCCCATTCGCCTCCTCCTCCTCCTCCTCCTCCTTCTCGTGGTCGCTGGGCCTCGGCGGCTCTGCGCCAGCCCTCGCCGGCTGCCTCGCGAG